GGAACCAAAGTAGACGGGTGTGCAGGATGCATGTAAGAGGGCATGGTGGTATACCTAATGGAGGATTCCACCACATGGATATCCCTCTCTATTGGCACAGGTGGAGAAGTGGGGGACATAAAAGAGAATGGTGCAGGTGCAGGAGTAGATCTCGCAGTAGGTGTACGGGGGTCTACAGACATGGGTGTGGGAGAAGCAAACAAGGCGGGGTAAGGTAACTGGGTGTCACCAGGAGGTACAGAAAAGACAATCTCGATGGGTGTGTCGGCAGTATATTGGGTAATCCATGAGCCTCCACTATCGACTCCATGAATCACTCGAGCAAATTCGCGAAAAACACTCTGCTGGGCCGCGGAGTCAAACACCCATATGTCATCCTCAGAAGGAAGGATGAACACCTTCACCTTGTTCCTGTTCATCTATATAAATAAAAGAAAAGCGATATGAACAACACAAACACAGGGGTGAGTTCTCTAAACACAAACAACAATCATAGCCAAACCCCAAGGAAGGCAGCATCATAGTCACAAATCCATTCAACCATTCTCACTCAGCATCATACAAAGTTCAAGCATATAATAGGGAGATAAATGTAATCACAATCATAGTCAATTTCACAAGCATTCAACCATCCCTAATAATAATGCATATGATGCATGAATGCAAGTTTCCACCTTTCTCATCTAGTAACTCATGTGTTATTAGCATGCAAATGATGTATGGGGATCCCATTTCTCTATGACTGGCGACTTGCCCAGCATTTACAATAGAGATAGATAGATAAATTCAAGTCGTGTGGCGATCGGAGGACTCCATTCCCTACTCTGCACAGATATAATAGATAAAAAAATAATAATAGCATATCATTAATGTGAAAGGCCATACGGCACGTTCAGGAATGGACCTCTACGACCCTAGTATTATGGAGTTCACGTCAGGTTTGGCTAAGGTCTTGCAAGTGGGTCACGACCCGGCTACAGGGAGCTCAACTGCCATGTGCAACTTAGGTCGGATGTTCCCCCTTTGGCTATCCCCAGAAGATCTACTTTGGACTGAACTTCCAATACCTACAGCTGTGCCTCTATAATGCCATCAAGTCATTTCACAAGATTATATATGATGCATGAATAGCATTTTCAGCTTTCTTGTGATTGTTTTCTCAACTCATATCATCCAGCCACTCGAGCTGTTGCACAGATATAATACAAGTCACATCAGACTTAAAATCATAGCATATATCATCAAGCTAAAAGTCATCATAGACTTAGCAACATGGATAGATAATCTCCATGAGTCACATGCCTCAGCAGGAACTCAGGACATAACATATAATTTCTCATCAAAATTCATAATCTCATGGTTTTACAATTTCATACTCATGGAAAGCTTTAGTGCAGCATGTTACATCTTTGGACCTTAACTTAGGCGAATCATTCAAGCCTTCATAATTCATTTTTTTTTCTCACTTCATTCTCTTTTAAAATTCAGCACCATCCCATTTCTCAATCCTTGTAATTTCACCATTCAAATTCATCCTATTCATTTCATTATGCTTATTAACCTCCATCCCCTGATTATCCATAATTCTCTTAATTCAAATTCTTGTTTTCTCCATTTCTTCCTCACGGTTTTTCTCTCCTTAAATGGATAAATTATTAAACTTATCTCCTGCCTAAACCATCAACCAAACAATTTAACTTACACTAGATTTAAAGGCATTACCTCTCGGTTTTCTTACTTTTATTTAGGCAAAATAATTCAAGCTTATGTCCTTGTCATGCTACTAACTTAGACCAATTCATTCACCATTCTTTCTAAGTTCTATCCTCTCAGATTTTCGCACTTTTTCTTATAAGATAAATGTGGTTCCTCACTCTCTTTATTCAACCACTCAATATATTTCAAATTCATGATATTCCCAATAATTCCATTTAGGTCCAAGGTCCTTTTTGATAATTCAACCCTCAAGGGCACTAGATCAATACCAATATATCATTGTATAATTATTTTCGCTGCACAATCTCTTAATTCATAAAGTGTTTTGTGGTGAGATGCAAATGATGCATGTAGCACTATCAATATAGACATTTCTTGGCATAACCATAACAAATAGTGAGTCATTCAAATTTTTCAGCCAAGTGTCAATTCAACCTCTTCACGGTTTTTCAAGGAACAATATAATTCATGAATAGTACCTTACTTCACATCACTTACATTTTTCCAGCAACTCATTCAAGCAAACATCACTAATTTCAAGTACCAATACCAAGCAACATCAAGGTCAATCACAACCAATTTTACAATCAATCATTCAATCACACACTCAACCAAGTCCCACACGGTTCAAGGCATTCCAATCAAGACAACACACTTTCAAATTCAGTTTTAGTTTCCTTAAAATGCAAGGTACATACAAGATATTTTTCTGAAATTTTGCAACACTTTTGGATGTCAAAACCGAGACCATCCAAATCCATTTCCACTTTTTCCTTCATAACTCTTTTTCTCATTACTCTTAATAAACTTTTCAAAATAATTTCAAGGTTCCAAATCAATTAATTTCAACCTTTTTCCTCAAAATTTTCAGAACTGTCTAGCCTCCAAAATCTCATCATTTGACAAGTCACTAACAAGCAAATTAGGGAAAATCAACATGCAAACACAAGGTTCCATTATCTAAGTGTAGTATTTTAATTTTCAGCAAAGGACTATGTTAAAAAAGGTACACCGAGACAACACAAGGGCAATTTAGTGTCCAAACTCTCAAAATTACTAAAGGAGTTCTTTTTATGAAATTAGGTTTGGTAACAAAGTGTTCAAGACATGCAAATTCACTGTCCAAGGTCTCAAGGGTAGATTTCTGTTTATTCAAGAGATTTGGCAAGAAAACTTCTAAACCGAAACTTGTACAAAAGGTTTCCAACATATTTTCAAGTCCAAAATTTCATACAAAGGTTGGATGTCACATGTAAGGGTTAAAAATTCAAACTTTCTAAAGAATCTCTTCACACAAAACCAAAACCAAAACTTTGAAAGTGAATCAAGTAATTTTCAAGCGAAAATCCAACAAGTAAGTGAAGGAATACAACATGCAAATTCATGGATCATGGCTTTGAAGGTGGATCATCATACAAATCAAGGATTTCAAACATGCAAAGGCAAAACCGAAATACTTTCAAGGAAGAAATTGCAAGCACTAAATAAAGTTTCAAGCTTTGAGAGAAATCAACACATCTAAGCATGAAACCGAAAATTTCAAAGAGATAAAGTGGAGTACAAGACAAATACTCAACATGCAAATGAAAGATATTGCCATCCAAGCTCATGGTTACTTAATATCAAGGGTGGATCATCATTGGAACAACAAACTCATTCAAAGAAGTGAAAAACTGAGACATTCACAAGGAGTAAACAACATGCAAATGTTCAAAATGCAAGCTTTTAGAGAGATTACCTCCTTTTCACATAAACCGCAAACTTAGAAGTAAATAAGGTGAAGAAATCAAGTAGAATTTAACATGCAAATGGTACAATGAGCTTGATCAAAGTTATTGGAAATAAAGATGGAACCTTTACAAGATTTTACATAGTTTTCAACCAAGAAAGGAAAACAAAGGAACAAAGGATGAGAACTCCCCCTTGCCTTGAGTTTTAGGCGTGAAATGAAATGGAGAAGGGGTTGGAATAGATGGATCTCCAAGGAAAACTTTGCTGGACCGAGAAAATAGCAGCCAAGTTCTTCAAAGTTCTCCTCCAAATTTGGCTCCTTCCACATGAAAATTGAAAGGATGAATGAGGAAGAAGTTTGTGATGGTGAGGTAAAGTGTTTGAGTGATTTGGATGAAGGAGTGGTGGTGTTTGAGGGGTTGCAAGCTCTCAGTTTTCTTGAGAGAAATTGAGAGAGTTTAAGACTTTGAGAGGATGAGAAGTGTGAGAGAAAGGTAGAGAGAAAAGAGAGAGATTCTCAGTTTTTGGCTTCCAAAAGGCTTAATCTCATTTAGCAAATCTATTTATAAGGAGGGTTTAAGCTTTAAGTGACCAATTGCCACTTAACATTTGTATTTTGGCTTGCTTGGCAAGACTTCCAAACTAAAAAACTGCACACGGTTTTAATTGAGTAAAAGCTGAAGTGAATTTGGTAAATTGGTGCAAGGAAAGAGGTGTCACGGTTTTTAATGCATAAATAGTGAATTTTGGGAAAGATTGTAGGCAAAGTTAGTAAAATTCAACAAGAAAAATGCATGGAACACCCTAGGCTGCATGCACACGGTTTGGATATCACAAATCCCAAAATTGGCACAAAATACCAAAGTTAAGATTTTGGGGCAGCAATGCATGAAATTTGGTTGGCCGAGAAAATGCGACATGACTAGGTTGTCACTTGGACGAGACTTTTGATGTGGTGCTAAGTTTGAGAGAATGTGATTGGTTAGAATAATTATGATGTTGGCAATTTGGAAGACATGAAAAGAAAGTTCCGAAATGACTTTTGCCGGCAAATCGGGAGACAAAATCCCGTGTATGGAATTCTAGTAGTCAATACTAGATTTCGGAATATTCGGGCAATTACGATGTTTGTAAAATGGGGGACAAGGTTTGTTTGCATGAAAATCTAGTGGCCGATACAAGATTTGGAAATCTCCGGGTAATGAATGCTAGATCTCACGCAATTTTATGCAATGATTTTAACGGCTAATAAATCATTACTAAATCCTTGCAATGATTAGGAAATCTTACGTTTTTCGAGATGGATACTTATGATTTGACAATTATTTTAATAAGACAGAATTTAACTTTTCAGATAAATCTCTCAGGGATATTTTGCATGCAGTCACCCTAAAATGCCGAACTCAGAAATAAATCAATATTCTAAAAATTAAAATTCAGCATTTATCTAATTATTTCGACGCTAGCAAGCTGGAACCAGCTAATAATTAAAATCTAATAACTACTAGCTAATTTATGAAAATTGGGGCGTTACAGGAGTGGTCCAATGAAACATGATAGAAGACCCCTTAGATTCTCCAAGGGACCGTATTCGGGCTCAAGTAATTCCCAGTCCAGAGAGAGTTCATCTTAAGAGAGGAGCAGTGGGAGTGGCTCTACTTCTGGCTCTTTTAGAGGGTCAATCAAATGCTTCAGGTATGGAGGACCACACATAGTGAGAGGCTGCCCATAACCACGGACAAACTATAGTAACTATGGGAAGTCAGGGCACACTGCCATTATGTGTTGGGCTGCCAAGAGGAGTGATATTACGAGTACAGCCCAAAGGCCTGAATCAAGAGGAAGCACGGGGCCAAAGCCAAGTATTTCCAAAAGAGTATTTACTATGAGTGGGGCTGAGGCATCTCAATCTAAGGAGATGACCCGAGGTAAATGTGTTATTAAAGGTAGACTACTTGATGTGTTGTTTGATTCAGGTGTTACGCACTCTTTTGTATCCTTGGACTGCGTGAAGAGTCTAGGTTTATATGTAACTGAATTGTCATGCAATGTTGTAGTGACTACCCTACGGGTAAGCCAGTTCAATAATGGTGCATGGTAGGGACTTTGAGGTAGACTTGATTTGTTTACCTCTTTTCCAGCTAGAGGTGATTTTGGGAATGGATTGGCAAGCTGCTAACCATGTATTGCTGGATTGCAGAGAGAAGACGTTGATCTATAGCGCATCAATGTTAGAAATTCTGAGGCTCTTGAGCCAAGGTGTGTGGGAGAACACAGTGAACGCTATGGCCTTCATGGTCATGTTCTCAATGGAGGCTAAAAGTGTAGTGGAGCTGGAGTACATCCCAGTAGTGAGGGATTTCTTGGAAGTTTTTCCTGAAAATGTCTTAGAATTACCACCTAAGAGGGAGATCAAGTTCGCTATTGATCTCATTTCGAGAGTAAGCCCCATTTCTATGGCACCATATAGGATGTCATCAGTAGAGTTGGCAGAGGTCAAGAAGTAAGTAGAGGATTTATTCCAGAAGCGGTTTATGAGACTGAGTGTATCACCATGGGAAACGCCAATGCTCTTGGTGAAAAAGAAAGATGGGAGTATGAGGATGTGTGTGGATTATCAGTAGTTGAACAAGGTGACAATCAAGAACAAGTATCCACTTCCGAGGATTGACAATTTAATCGACCAGTTGAGAGGAGCTGCGGTGTTTTCAAAGATTGACTTAAGATTGGGGTACCATCAGATCAGGGTGAAGGATGAGGATGTACCCAAGATGGCGTTCAAGATGCGGTATGATCACTATAAGTATTTGGTGATGCCATTTAGGATGACCAATGCGCTTGCGGTGTTCATGGACTACATGAACAAGATTTTCCATGAGTTTTTGAATAAGTTTGTGGTGGTGTTCATTGACAACATCTTAATTTATTCAAACACTCAAGAAGAGCACGCTGAGTATTTCAGGATAGTTGATGAATCTACATTTTACTACATTTTTATACATCATTTATTACTTTTTATAGAAAAGAATAGACTTAGATAGTGTAAATAAGATGAATATTCCAATTAGGCTAAATAATATAGGTTTCTTAGTTTTTTGTTAATTTACATGAATTTAGATAGTTTATTTTACATATTTTGATCATTTGAATAATATGGCAGGAATCCCCAAGCTTATTTTGAAGAATTATTGGATTTTGAGGAATTTGAGGTGAAAGTAACTACTTTCAATATTGATAGTGACAACTACAGCAAGCCACTTCCTGCAAAGGGACCAAAGTGATCACTTCCAAAGCTTAAAGTGACAACTACAGCAGCCCAGAATCAACCAAACCTGCGCGTGGTTACTATGAATATTCATAGTAATCACTCCAGAGCATGCAAAAATTGAAGGTGCTGCGCGTAACTACTATGAATATTCATAGTAATCATTCCAGAGACCCAAAATGTCCCAGTGCTGCGCGTAACTACTATGAATATTCATAGTAATCACTCCAGAGAGGAAAAACCCAACTGATGCTGCGCGTGGTTACAATGAAAGAATGAGAGTAATTACTTTGGACGGCGCCAGCTTTAGTATAAATAGATTTTTACCAAATTAGGGTAGGGAGTTCTTACACTTTTTGAACCTTTTCTCTTCTTTACTCAATTTAGAATATTTTCCAGAGCTTAGGGTAACCTTGGGTGACAGCCAAGGGTCCAACCTAGGGTTTGGTTTCTCATTTCTCTTGCTTTTACATTAATGTTAATGAGTTTTCTGCATTTCCCAATTGCGTTTTTGACCCCCATTTTCATGGAGGGCTAAGTTTGTGTAATCCTTAGTGAATTCACATGGGTTCTTGAGTTCCTTGAATTTAATGATAATACAATTCCTTTCTTTCATGAATTACTTCTTCCTTGTCTCTTGAATTGAATTAATGGTGAATGAGGGGGGTATTGCTCAATTAACCCTAATTTCGTATTAAGGAGATTCTAAACTAAGGGTTGCTTAATCCTAGGTTTAATTCTAACGTTGCGTAATTTTGGGATGAGAGATTAGAGCCTAACAAATTGCGTAATTTCGTTGGGACCATAAGGTTGATTTTCGCTTGTTAAATTAACCTAATTCATGGAAGAGAGGATGAATGTTAAATGTTGAGTGGAATGAGGATAGAATCTATGTGGATGAACTAAGGATTGCTGTTTTCTATTGTTTGAATTAATTAAACTCATTTGCTTATTGCTCTTTATTTTGATTTGAAACCACAAAAACCCCATTTTAATTGCTTGTTTAATTAATGCCTTCAACATGTTAAATGAAGATTAATAACCAATGTTCATGGGAGACAATCTAGGGTTACCCTAGTACTACATTAATTTGTTTAAATTTTGATGAGGATTTACGACAAATCTTTTAAACACCTCGAAATAGATAATCATCAATAGTTTTGCAGATTTTGAAGGAGAGGCAGTTGTATGCCAAATTCTCAAAGTGTGAGTTTTGGTTGTCCCTGTGTTAGTTCTGCCCTACCCAGAGCGAAAAGTTTGATGTGCATTATGATGCTCTATACATGGACTTAGATGTGTTCGGATGCAAGATGGATGAGTAGTTGCTTATGTCTCGAGGCAGTTGTGCTCACATGAAGTCAACTATCTGATGCATGATTTAAAGTTAGCCGTGGTGGTTTTTGCCCTTAAGGTGCGGAGGCACTACTCTATAGGGCAAGATTTGAAGTGTTCAACGACCACAAGAGTTTGTAATACTTGTTTGATTAGAAGGAGCTAAACATGCGGCAGAGGAGGTGGATGAAATTCCTTAAGGACTTCACATTGTCTTACCATCCTGGCAAGGCAAATATGGTGGCTGATGCGTTGAGCAGAAAGTCATTGCATGTGGCACCCATGATGGTGAAAAAGATGGAGTTGATTGAGGAATTTCGAGACATGAACTTGGCTATAGAGGTAAGGTCAGGGAGTTTGTACCTCAGAGCGACAAAAATCTACAAAGACTTCTTAGTGTACATCCGAGACGCTCAACAGAGAGATGTTTTTATGAAGATATGATGAGGCAGAAGAATAATGGGATTTGGAGTTTCACTATGATGAAAACGAGGTGATTAAGTTTCAGAATCGAGTGTGCATTCCCTAAGTGGATGAGTTGAAATAGATGATACTTGAGGAGACGTATAAGAGCAAGATGATTTTCCATCCCAGTGTGACTAAGATGTAACAGATCCTCCGAAGGAGCTTTTGGTGGAATGGAATGAAGAAGGATGTGGTTGAGTACATGTCGAAATGTTTGACTTGCCAAAAGGCGAAGGTGAAGCATCAACGCCCACCTGGGTTATTACAACCGTTAGAGATCCTTGCATGGAAGTAGGATAGCATTTCCATACTAGAACCTCCGAAGGAGCTTTTGGTGGAATGGAATAAAGAAGGATGTAGCTGAGTGTGTGTTGAGATGTTTGACTTGCCAGAAGGCGAAGGTTGATGATACACTTTTTCTCTATCATAGTACTTAAATGGTGTAATTCAATACTAGCAAGTGTACAAGGTAGTTGTAGCAAGTTATAAAATGTGGAAATCAGATTGAGTCCTAAGTATCGTCCTCTAGGATCTTATTTTTAATCACCAATTCACAAGATAATAACTATTTGCACCAAACAATTCATTGAACAGATATCAATATTCAAGAAAGTAAATTTCAGAACTAAAGAAATGAGAAATTGTTAAAAACAGAATGTTAATTTGTACTATTCGAATGAATTATTAATGGAGGAAAGTTAGGAATTTATTTCATTAGAATATCAATATCAATTCAGTTCTGCCTCTGAACATTCAAGCAATTGATTGATTGACAATCGGTTTCTCTTCACAATAACCAAAGATTGATTCCTCAATTCATTAGTCCTAATATTCAACCAAATCTCCCTAATTCCTTAGGCTAAATTTAGTTCAATATTGCATTATGAATTAGAACCAAAAGATTGCAAAACTAAGACCACTTAACCCTAAGAAAATCAGTAGTTTTGGGAATTAATTCAGATTCAAGCAACAAACCCAATTTCCATTAGTGAAGGTTACTTTTTGATTAATCAATTGAACTTCCATTCAAAGATCAAGTAAACATAGAATTAATCCCTCAATCAAATCAAATACTCAAAGTTCAGAGTCAAAACAAAATCAATATATCAATTCTAGATCCATAAATCCTTAACAAAAAGAGTTAGAAACACATTACAATGAAATGAAGAGAAGCAAAAAGAAAAGAAGATGAAAAGCAGAGAGCCATCTCCATAACTTCATCTTCTCCCAGATTCCTCTAGCAAAGAAGAACAAAAGTCGCTCCTCTCTTCTCCCTCTAACTTCCCTTGGAAGTTAAAACGGTTACAACTGAATACCAAAAACTAAAAATGACAAAAAGCTCTTTTTTCTAAGTTTCCAATTTCTATTTATAGAGTTCTTCTAATTCTTCAACTTAACCCTTGGAATTCTGAAAGTTAGTTATCCCCAGGTGTTCTGGAATCTTCTAAAAGTGATACAAAAGATCCAAACGTCCAGAATTGACAAGAAGAAGAAGTTAAAAAAACTACAGAGTTTTGCACCAAAATGCGCAGTGGCAGGAGTGAAGGCGCGCAGTTGCGCGCCAAGGCTTCAAGTAATATGAGTTGCAACTCTCTGTTGTGCGCCAAGGCTTCAAGTGATGTGCGTTTCAATGCACATCACTTCAATGAACGTTCCTTCCATATGCTCAGCTCTGCGTTGCTACGCCATCTGTTATGAGTTGCCACTCTCTGTTGCACGCCAAAGCTCCAGGTGATATGCATTTCAACGCAGTGGCAGTTATCTAGTTACAGTTGCTGGAGTGTTAACGCGCATCACCCAGAGTAGCCACGCAGACCCAATGCTGTATTTTCTTCTTTCCACGTTCAAATGCCAATCACTTGGAGTTGTAACGCCCAGCTCTTAGGATTTCTTCAAGCTTGATTCTTTGACTTTTCTTCTTTAATTTCAGCTTTTAATCCTTCCTTTTAGCACTTTCAACAACTTTCCATCTTTTGCATGAATTCCTACAAAAATCTAAACAATTTTTAATATTTCAACAAAACATCAATTTATACTAATTTTTTTATTTTTATGATCTTTTCAAGTTATTTTTAGAACTATTTTCCTAATTATTAACCAAAAATAATGCTAAAAACATGGTAAAATATGGAAGTGGGACAGCATCAACGTCTACCTGGGTTGTTGTAACCGTTAGAGATTCCTGAATGGAAGTGAGACAGCATTTCCATGGATTTTGTTTCTGGGTTGCCGAGGACTAGAAACAACCATAATGCCATTTGGGTAATTATGAACTAGAAACAACCAGAAACAAGCACGAAGTACAAATTGGAACGACTGACAGACTTGTATGTGAGGGAGATAGTCAGGCTGCAAGGAGTGCTAACTAGTGTGGTGTTTGACAGAGATCCAAGGATTACATCAAGGTTTTGGGAGAGCCTGCAGAGGGCGTTGGGTACTAAATTGAAGCTTAGTTCTACGTATCATCTGCAGACCGACGGTTAGACAAACAGGACCATCTAGAGGTGCAAAACTCCCCTATGTTGATATGAGACTAGAAATGCGACTCTCTGTGTGTGTCAGATATGATCCAAAAACAGAATGAGCAAATCAAGATGATTAGAGAGAAGATGAAGGCTGCACATGATAGGAAAAAAAGCTACTATGATAGGAGGAGGAATCCTTTGGAGTTTCAGGTGAATGATCATGTGTTTTTGAAGGTCTCGTCTGTGACTAGAGTTGGGAGAGCTTTGAAATCTTAGAAGTTATCTCCTAAGTTCATTTGGTTGTTCAAAGTGTTGAATAGAATTGGTCATGCAGTGTACCAAATAGCATTACCTCTGAATCTCTCAAATCTGCATCCGGTGTTCCATGTATCACAACTCAGGAAGTATGTACTGGATCCTTCTCATGTGATTGAACTGGATCCAGTTCAAGTGAGAGAGGACTTGTCCTATGATGTGTACCTGGTGAGGATTGCAGACCACCGTGTTAAGCAGTTGAGGGGCAAGGAGATCTCGTTAGTGAAGGTGATATGGAGCTCAAGTGATGAAGGAAATGTCATATGAAAAATGGAGAGTAGAATGAGAGAATTGTATCTGAGGTTGTTTATGTTGTTTGGTTAAATTTCGGTGACAAAATTCCATAAAGAAGGGGAGAGTTGTAATGCCTCGAGTTTTGTGAATTATTGATTATTAATATAAATACATGAGTTATTGTTTGAATATGTATTTGATGTATAGTGTGATTAAAATATGATGTGGATATGTGTATTTAACAGTATTATGATGTGAATAAGTGTGAAGGAGTATACATGAATTGATTGAGAATGTTTGACTAGTAGTTGAGTTGGAATTGGATTGAAAAATAGGCTAAGTGTGTGCTGCAGAGGCATTCTCGCTGTAGTGGGAGGATTCTCGCTGTAGCGCAACGGGCATGAATCTGTTGCGCTCTTGCTGTAGCGAGAAGTCCCTCGCTGCAATGAGAGAGCGACAAAGAAGTGCGTTTCTGGGAGCAATCTCGCTATAGCGAGATTCTGCAAAAACCAGAGTGTAGTTTTCTCTAAGATTTTCACTGTAGCGAGAGTGTCACGACAAGAAGAGTATTTGAGGGATTTAGGGTTTGGGAAACACATTCTCACTCTTTTCTCTTCATCTCTCCTTTGATTCTCTCTATTTTTAACCCGTTCATACCGATTAAACTGCCTCTAAAGCCGTTCGTGAGTTGGACTGAAAGTTGAAATTGTGTTTAGGACACTTGGAGGTAAGTTCTAAGAGTTAGAGTTTCGATTTTCCATTCCTCTTCCTTGTTCTTTTGATTTCTCATGGAGTTTTCCATGTATTTAGGACAAAACTCGCATTGAGAACACATTCTTTGTTAATTTCATTTTGGGTCTTAGATTTGAGGTAAGGGGGGACTCTACGCTATCTCAATGTGCTTTGTATTCGTTTAATTTCCTAGGTATTGCAATGTGGTTAGGATAAAATGTAGGGATATGTGTGTGTTAATGTACATTTCATGTAGAACACAATTTGTGAGGAACTATGATGGAAATTATGTGGTTGGAATTTTAGAATTTTGGAATTTTAGGGGTGCACCACTCAATTTAGTCCCTAAATAATGTGGTATTGATCCTTGAATTTTTCTGCAATGTCTGACCAAGTTTCAGCCCAATCCGAGTTAGTCACCAGAAAAATTACCTTTTTACCCTTTTGTAGAAAAACACCTACCAAATGAAGGAATTTGCGAGAGCTCCTTTGGATAAAGTTGATCAGCGTGATGAGTGCTATTTGGACACCAAAATTCAGCCTCAAACTCCAAAGTCGAACTGGTAGTGAAGTTTTCCACTTATAAGACTCACAATAAATACCTCAAAACAACAACCAAAATTACAAACCAGAATTTTGCACACAGAACGTAAAACAAAATAAGGAAGATTAACACTCTAGATATGTTAAAAACGCCATTGATTCCCTGATAATGGCGCCAATTTAACACATGGTCGCACACGGGTCAAAATACACCTAATTACTATAGTACGAGGTAAGCAACTAGGGTCATTTCTCAAAGAATCACAAGGATGAATTAATCTATTTAGAGAGTATATAAGACGGGGGGTTTGTTTATAAAAGAAAAGAAAACACAACTAATTATAATTAGAATGAAGAGTGAACAGAAATTGAAATTCCAATCCAAGAATTAAAAAGAACAATGACTACTTTGTCACCAGATTTTTAAGAGAATATATCAACAAGCAATTTGGTAATTAACAATGAATCCGAATGAAATCTCAATTCGAACTCAGCATTCACACGAAAACCTTCATGCATTCGATTAACACATAATCACTTAAAGTTCAGAAAACTCTAGAACCTAATTGAATTGTGCCAATTTAATTTACCAATGTCATTAATCATAGTTTTCAAACCTAAAAATCCAATTCATGTTCCTTAAAACTAAATTACATACATCAATCGAATAATATGTAATCAACTAGATGCATAATCATTAATCCAAACGAATAACTTCAATTCAAAAATATAATTAGCAAAAGGAGAAAATAAGGAAGAGATGAAACTGAATTTGTTATTGAATTTATGCCAATGTGAGACCAATCCGCAAGAGTGTCATGTCCCTTTTAATCCTTGAATTAGATGAAAATCTAAGCCTTCATTAATGGAGGAAAACAACAAGTCGTAAAGGTGAGAGAGGCTGAGAGAGAGAGAGAGCAAAATTTAAAATTCAAATTTCTCCTCCCCATTCTGTTTGTAACATTCTACTGTTATTTCGGCTATGAAAACGGCCTCTTTTTGATTGGTGGCCTAAAGGACAATTGCAGCCTTAGATGTTAGCTTCAAAACGCCATTAGAATGGGCTTAATCGGATGTCTGTGGACTGAGATATGACCCAAAACCTTGCTCAGGATCTGCAACTGCACCGCTTCAGTTCACTTCTAGGCCTAGAGTCAGCTTCTTAACACCAGAATTGGTCTTCGACCTCTGCATACAACTTGTGAGCCTATCTCTAAGCTTTTCTACAAATCAAAAATCACAATGAGATGAGCCCTACAACTCCAGATATGACCCAAAAACCAAAACAATGTCAGAATTTGCCTAATGCTGGAAAAATTAAATAAAGCCCAAATGAAATCTGAACAACATAAAATGGTCAAATTAAAACTAATTAGGCACAAAAAGAGATTAATGAGCTAGGAATGAGAGAAAATAAGTATATAAAAATCCAATTGATTAGATAAAATGCAGGGATATGTGTGTCTTAATGTACATTTCATGTAGAACACAATTTGTGACGAACTGTGATGGAAATTATGTGGTTGGCTATGATAAATCGACATTTCACCATAATTTTTAGTATAATTTTATTAATAAATAAGTAGTAAAGTGGTAAGTAAACTTGGAAATATCATAAAAATTGCATCAATATTCATAAGTGTGTAAATAGTTTTGATTTTTAGATTTTTAGTCCAATTCTGAACAATTTGATTTAAATGACTTAATCCTTGTACAAAAGCTTGAGCTGAGAATTTGAGTTGAAGATTAAAGTGAAGAAAGTAAAGGAATTGAGCTTAAAAGATGATTTTAAATATCAGTTCTAAGTGTCAACTTTGGACGATTTCAGTTCTTAATTCAATTTTAGAAGCTTCTAGAAGACCTTTGATACTAGAATTCTCAGAGATTAATGTGTAGAAAGGAAAAAGTGGGGAAAAACCTTATAAATAGAAGTTAGAGGTTTAGAAAATGGGACATTAGTTCATTTTTGTTATTTTTCAGTTTGTAACTGTTTTAACTTCCAAGAGAAGTCAGAGAGAGAGATTGAGAGTGAATTTCAAGCTTCATTTATAGAGGAATCAGTGTGAAGATTGGATCTTGGAAGATGTTCTTCTGCTTCTTGTCTTCTTTTTCTCTTACTTCTCCTTCTTCCATTGTAATGTTGTTCTAAACCTTTTTGGTTAGGGATCTATGGATCTAGATTTGATGTTGTGATGTAATTGTGAATGCGATCTTGAGATTGTAATTGAATTGAGTATATGATTCTGTTCTTAATGCAATTGTGAACTAATCCTTCATTCAATTGAATTTTGAGGAATTCTCATCAATGGAAATTGAGTTTATTTCTCAGATCTGAATCATATGCCTAGGTTATTGAGATCTTAAGAATAAGTATCATGATCTAGTAATCCTATAATTTCCAAAGCTTAATGCAATATTTGATTAAATTTCACATAAGGGATTAGGGAGGTTTAATTAGGTATTAGAATCAATGAGGCAAGGAATTGTCCTTCGGTTAAAGAAGTGAAATTGATTATCAATCAATTAAAATTCTTAAGAGTTCAGAACATGATTACATTGCAATTGAAAATCTGGTGAAGTGATTCATAAATATTTTTCATATAGCATTCTTAATACAAAATTTGTACTATGTTTTTACAACAAGTTTATTACCTTTTATTGTTTTTATCTCTTACTTCTACATGTTACAAACCTCTCAATTGAATTGTTTTGCTCAACCAATTGTTAAATTGTGAAGTGGTAACTGAAATAAGATCCTTGTAGACGATACTTAAGGCTCATATTGAATTCTAAATTTTATTATTTGCTACAACTACCTAGTACACTTGCTAGTTAGTATCTCTATCAAATTTTAAGTAACAGGCTACAATATGGTTGATGTTGAATAGTGCGTGTGTTGAGAATAGTTTGAGTCTGCTTGGAATCATGTTGGAAATGTTGTGTGTTTGAATGTAATGGGATTGAATGTGGGCATACATGCCGTGAGTGAAAGTGAATATTAGGATATGATTGAGAATGTGGATGAAATTATGTGCTAGCATGCCATCGTTTGATGTTGAATAATTTAAATGGTTGGATATGTGTGTGAATGGCATGTTACATGCGATTATGAATATGTTGGAAAATGATAAATGGTTCAATGATACATTGGGGTGTGGAAGCTAAGGGCAATAGAAATACCTGGGGAAGAGAGAGTGGTTGTGACACTAATAGTGAGCGTGGGTGTTCCACAGGCCAACCACTTTCATCCTGACTCGGCCTCTGACTAACACTTTTGCTAAGGGGCCCATGACCGCGCACGTTGTATCCGTGAAGCGGGGGTTATCCGGCGACCATCCATGATGTGAAACTGAGTAAGTCCTTGAGGTTGAGGGCGTTAGGAAAACTGTGATCAAAGTGCCACAATAAGTGTAGTTAGCGTGCAATGAGCGCATGTTGGTGTAAATTGTTTGATGGTGCAGTGAGCGCACCTATGTGTGGATGAGAATGAAATTATTGCTTTGTGTTTATATGATGAATGATTTATATTATGACAGAAATTTATGGAAATATGCTAAGTGAGTCTCTATGCTTGTGCGTGTTAGATAGTGTAGAGTACTCACCCTTATATTTATTTTTCAGGTGACCAAGATAATCAGCACCGGATTCAGTGAAGGAATAGATGAAATGCTATAAGACTATAAAGTTATTTTGAAAACTCTAATGTATTTAAAATTAGTCCTGTAGCAATCTTTGATGTAAACTTGTAATTCATCCTT